GGCGCGTATAAATATCGTCTTAATGCAATAAAATAACGTGAACTATCACAGTTATAAATCACTCCGAGCGAGTCTCATTAAAGTTGGTATAATGATCTCGAAATATGTAAGCATTTATTAGAATTTATGTTTACATGCTTAGTAAATTTTTCTTAAAATTTTATTGTGATTCCTAAATATAAATGAAGAATTTCTTTCTTCCGATATGATTTAATAAAAATGTAAAAACAGCAATATATATAATACTGCATTAATTTAAATGTGGCAAAATATATATTTTGAATCTTTTTATTTTAAAAAGCCACGGAAGATTTTAATTGTCGTTTCTTTTTAGCCATGCTAATTAGTTATCTCAATGTGCGTTGTGCATTAGTATGCACTATCGAGCGGTTATCATTGTAAAAGTTGCATTGACAGTTTATATCTTGAGAAATATTTAATAGTTAGTAGTATATTATACATTTAAAAAAGAAACTAAACGAAGTAGGTTCTTTTGCTTCTACAATAATTTTTACATATGGTTTCTACGGCTTACGGTTCGTGCAGGTATTCTTTTGTGTTTTATAGAAAATATTCGAAGTCTTTTTTGAATTTTAATTAATTTCTGATACATTCTTTGTCTAAATCCTTTTTTAACTCTATCAAAGACGCAACTTTACTGCACGGAAAAAAAAGATATTCTTATTTTAAAAATATGTTTATTTTTAACATGAAAATTTTGAAATGAGATTATATTGCTTTAAACAAAGAAAAACTGGCTTGAATGAAGTCATTTTATATAGTTCAACCAAGAAAAAATATTCTTATTATTTAAGAATAATTTTCTTCAATGGAAAAGAAAAATGTTGGATAGAAAATAACATATTTTGCAAATAAAAAAAGATGTCTTATTGTCAAAATAATTATATTGTATTTTTCAAGTAATCATTATAAAATGGAAATAAGACGATAGTATTGTTAAAATTTAAGATTAATAAATTCTTAACGGAAGATTATAAATTGTTGCGTATATACGAAACAATGAACGGGTTGATTTGAGTATATAAGCTTTGATTTGACACTACTTTTTTTTCTGTGTGGTTTAATATAAATGCTTGCTCGAAATGCGGTCCAATTACGTGATTACGAAATTCAAACCAATAATCCGAAGCATCTTGCAAAAAAAAGTCAACGTTGGTAATGCCATATTTGACAATTAATCAGGTGGGTAAATGCAAACAAATAATACTTTTTTAATTTTTATATCAGTCAATTATATCTATTTCTGCAAGTAATATATTAATTGTATTTAACGCAGTATAAATAAATTCGTATATTTCTTTGATATAACCATAATTTGAAAATAGTTTTATTTGATACATATAGATAATATATTATTTGTGAATTATTTCTCATAAAATCGTATATTCTGTACAATATGCAGTGTTTCTTTTGCTGAGATGTTATTACTAAATATGCTCGGCATGAGATGTTACCGCGTGGTTCGATAACTGTTAGCTAGTTAGGTTTAGCCGACATATCAATATTTATATACAAATGGAAAACTATGCGTTTCCTTTCGTCCTCTTTTATACTTTCGACAGAAAGGTTCTTCGCTTTCAGTTATACGCGTCACTTGAAACGGACACAATGTCTATGTCACTAAGTATTGTATCTAAAAAGAATTTGTGGGATTATTATAAAAAATTGCCGGATTTTAAGGTACAGTGCATGTTTTGCGAAAATGAATATATTTATGTAAATGTCGGAAACTTCAAAAGACATATAGCAAAATGTCATAGGGAAATTTGGAAATTCGAAGAAGAAAGAAAACTAAAGGGATGGCAATGGATGTATTTCAAGTATTTAAACAAATTATATTCACAATGTATTGTCTGTGATGCAAATGTTTTGTCTACATCTGTAGAAAAACACCTGAAATCGCATTCTGAAGAACAACAAAAAAATTATATATTTCATAGTTGGCCATGGAAATATTTTACAAAAAGAAGTGATTTTGAAGTGGAGTGTAATATTTGTCACAACAACTTATCTCTTCCTGTTAAAAATAGTATGAATTTTCATACAGAAAATACACATTCGGACAAATTGAAAAATACGCAAGAAACACGTCACACAGTTAATTCGTTAGAACGCGTTTCATCATTTGAAACGGACATGATATCTATTCCACCAAAAGATTGTTGTTTCGAGATGTCCAACTTTTGGATACATATGAAAGAAATACATAAAAAAGTTTTTAATCTCGAAGAAAAACACCGAAATTTACATGGATCATCAAGAATATATTTCAAATATTTCAACTCGTTGACATTGAAATGCATTATTTGTGACGAAAACGTCTTATTTTTATCCGAAAGTTTAGAAGATCACTTGCGCTCGCATTCTAAAAAACAATTAAATAAACATACATTTGATAGTTGGCTCTGGAAATATTGTACCAAAAAAAGTAATCATTTTGAAGTAGAGTGTGATATTTGTCACACAAACATATTTGTTGTTAATTAGAACTTATTTAAATGATCATAATAAAGATGAACATTATTTGGCAAACCAACTGAACAGAATAATAAAAATGATAGTAAGTTTTATTGATATTATTGTTAATATTATTATATAGTATAATTAATTTTTTACTCTTTTCAAATTGTGTTTAATTTATTAAATATATACAATAATGATCACAGTAAAAACCGGGCAATTTATTTTTTATGTAAATATTATAAATGTTTATATAGATTATCGAGAAGTTGACAATGGGACTTATGACCGCCTTTAAGTAGCATTACAACTAGGAATAATAGCTGCTCTGATTTTGACAGTTTTAATTTATTAAAGAATATATGTGCCGGTGATGAAAGTGAGTTAAATAAAAAATTTTTTTAAATTGATTTATCACTTACTTTGTGTTATATCGATTTATAAAGTCGAAATATCTCAAAATAAAAAATTATCAAAATTTTTGACTTAGTACTCTACTTTCATAATCACCGGCACAAATACAATAGAAGTGGTATGTGTATATAACTCTGACGTATAATTATTTGTTTTATATTTATAATTAATATTATAAATGTTTATATAGATTATCGAGAAGTTGACAATGGAAATGATGACTGCTTTCAAGTAATATCACGATAAGCAATTATGCTTGTTTTAATTTTTACGATTTATTTTACTAAAAAATAGATACAATAGAAGTGATATGTATATATAGCTCTGACGTATTTTTACTTTATAGTATATATAAAGTTATGAATATTATTATACATCTATGTTTTATAGAAAACAAAATTACATTTTTTTTAATTCACTAATTAATAGTATAAGATTTTTTATATACCCTGTTTTAAATTTATAAACTATGTTCATAAATTTATGAATTGGAACGATTTAATGAAATATATTCATAGACTTCTCTGTAAAGACAAAGTATCGATAATTAATTCCGACAAAATTTTTATTCTAAATATTTTATTTCCATGTAATTTTTTGTATATTTTTACGTTTATGTATTTTCGTTATTTTTTGTACTTTATATAGAGTAAATTTGTTATTGTAACTTCTGTAAAAAAGTTTTCGAATGTAATACATTAATTGTCGGTGAAATATATCAATTTAAACATTAAAACTGTTTTTGTTTGAGTTTGTGTGATATATAATACATTCATTATAATACAAATAAATTCATCATAAAGAAATGTGTCATTTTGTTATTTGAAGGTAGAATATTGTAGGAGTTGTTTGTTCTCGCTTCAGTCACGTAGCTTTTTGTATAATATTATACAAATACTTATAAAATATTTGAGATAGCATATTTAAGAAAGTAATTGCAATATTTATAGTATTTGTAATTATTAATTATTTCCAACATAATAATTTAGTTTTTATAATTATTTCAAATATTTCTAGAACATATTTTATTGTTAATTATATAACTGTTTTATTAAAGATTTGCTTTGAATGAAATGAATAAAAACTTCAATGCTTGCAATAATTATTTTTAAATTATTTTACGTAGCATTCTTTTGATTATTTTCTGTGTTCCGAGTGACGATGCGAAAAGTAACGGCGATACGAAAATGTTACTCATTATCTACCATTCCAAGTTTTGAACAGTAACTGTCCTTGCTCCGGAAATTATGAAACCGGTCTATAATTGGAACTCGACTAATGACAAGACGAGTCATTGCGTATATTATAGCCATGGATCAGCATTACCTCTCACATGGGCGCCAAATGCTTTACGAAACCGCAACGGTGCTTCACGTAAGAACCGATGCGTTGAAAGATCAATTGAATGAAGAAATAGTGAATGGTTGCAAAAAACAACAGACAGCTGCCTTACAAAAATAAAATAAATATACACTTACATACATATGATGATAAGAATGTGAGTTACAACGTTTTAAAAGCGCTTATCGTTTATAAGTGCATGCTTGTTTGTACATAGCATAATATTACGTAACTATTATACTGTACGATGAGCTGACCAGTAGTAGGGCGGTAGGTCACCATAGGTTATTGATCTACATAAAATACGTGGTCGGCTTCGGTCTAAATCGGGATTCCAATTGACACGGGTAGAAAAGTGTCAGTAAGTGTCGAACTTTCGCGTAGAATAGTCGTAGCGAGAAACAAGTTTAATTTGAAAGTTGAGACCACTTTCGACAAGTCTAGAATTATACATCTAGGGTGAGTAATTTTGCGAGATATCATCGCTAAATTACAAAAATCAAATTAACTCTTTCAGATATATGGTAGTAAAACACGAAACACAATCGCTGCTAATTGGCATATTAAATTGAAAGATTTCATGCATTCCTGTAATGTTCGCCGCGTTTATTGTAATTTTTAAGAGGATCGAATACTTAAATACTTCAATGTGAGATACTCAATAATTTTCTCAGTTTTAATTATTCTATTAAGATTACGTATATTATGCAACTATATTCTAATATGACGTGAAGATATTTAGAAGACGATCGTCCTGCTTGCAGATGGAGCATAGAAGCGTGCCGCGCGGGCAGCAGGAGCATCAGTAGCGTTCGGCTATCGTCGAGGACCAGTCTCACGGGCCCGATCTCGAGCGAAAGGACGTGGGGTCGCGGAGGCGACAGCGATGGCCGCGACTGACGGCCAGATCGTCGTCGCGGCGGCACGCTGGGCCGAAGAGGCAACGTATCTGCGCGAGTTCGTTTCCAAGTACCGTCTACCGGCCGTAATCAAGATCACGAAGGGCCAGTATGGTGGGCTGGGCGTGCCGACGCTACCGGCGCCCAGCTTGCAAAGCACGGCGCTGCTGATATCGGCCGGCCGTCGGCGTAAGATCGTGGCGCAGGCGGTGAAGATCAAGGAGGGTCGCCGGGTGGTCGGCGTCGGGCCCAGACTGGCGATACCAGATTCATACGCGGGCTACTTCGAGATCCTGAGCGAGGAGGGTCGAGCGGTGCGCGGTATCGAGTCGGTGAGCGAGCTGTCGCGACGATGCCCGGACGAGGGTGCTCTTGTGCGCGAGACTGTGCGCGGCATCGCTTGCCGGGTGGACGACGAGTCGGGTATCGTAGTACCGGAGGGCACGAGGACCCTCGCAGCCGGCGAAACGATCGTTACCGCCGGCGAAGTGGCGCTGCCCGGCCGCGGTCGATTTCTGCGCTGCGTGGACTGCCGAGGCGACAGCATCTTGCTCGGGATGGATCAGCGCGGTCGCTTCAGCGCGTTGGCACGCGAGGACAACATCAGCGGCGTCCATACCGCCAAGGCGCTTCTCAGCAAGCGTCTGCCTCTCACTGTAAGACTGGTGCACGGCCAGCCGCCGCGGGGACTCAAATCGTCATCGCAGTTCGTACACGAACTGAGACTGCTGTCGACCTTCGAGGAGGAACATGTGTTCGCGCTGCCGTTGCAAAGAGAAGGCGCGGTCGTCGCGCTACCGCTCGCGGCGCCGCTCAAACTGGTGAAGGCACGGAACGAAGAGGTGCTCAGATCAATGCAGGAGTTTACGAGGCTAGTGGAGCGCGCCTCCCGTCTGGTCGCCGACGTGGCTGACCGGGCGCACGTGCTAGATGGTCGTCTAGGTGAGAGCAAGCCCTCGAGGCAGACGAGAAGCGCATCGGGCTTCCTCAGGAGATCGTCGACCAACTCGGATCACGCGCCGCTCGGCCATCACAGAAATAACAGCGCCAGTCATCATCATCATCATCATCATCATTATCATAGTAATGGTCATCAGGCGTCCACCGGTCACTCGGGCTACCGGGACGAGAACAGGGTGCCGCCGTCGTCGTCGGCCTGCACAGAGGAATACGACGAGATCGATCAGATATACGACTATGTGCGCGGCTTCGCGCCGTTGCCCAAGAGCGTGAGGTCGCCTTACGAGAGCCCTCTCGCCGCTCAAGGAGGCTCGACGCCGCCGTTGACGCCGGTCACGGTGACAATCGCACCGCTGCTGGACGATCGACCCGAACCACCGCCGATCGAGACGATACCGACGAAGAAGATTCAGGCGGAGAAGCGAACCAGGCGCGCGGTCAAAGAAACGCCGCAACCGCGGACGGAGAAGCCGCCGCTGGCGAAGCTCTATGTGAAGAACAGCGGTACTCAGCGCGGACGCCCGTTAATGAGGCAGAAGAGCGCGTCGCCGTTGAAGGAAACGCCGCCAGGTTACAAGGGCGGTTCGCCGCTCTTTAACATACGCTACAAGAGCCTGACGAATCTCCAGCAAGCCATGGAACTCGATGGTACGCTGGACTCCAGTCACTCGGGCGGGAGAACGTCGGGAGACTCTGGCGCGGGCGCCAAGCTGCCTGAAAAAAGGTAGGTTGCCACACTGAGAAATTATTCAAAATCAATAGGTCGAATATGCTTACATTTGCCGAAATAGCTGACGGTATGTTGCGATAAAACGTGTCTCTTCGATGTTGCTTGTCTAGATCGAGACGTTTAAGTAGGCCACGATCCTTGACGAATTTAGTCTGGGAGCTACGAGGTGGAAGCGGCCTCGGATGCACGAGACCGGAAACTCCGCCGCCTGCCACGACTGCACCGCTACCGCCGACTAAATGTGGACCACGTCTGGCTGTTACTGTCGTGGCACCGCGACGCGTCGGCACGCTCTACCTCTAACTCGTGAGTATCGCCTTTCTTCAAGCGTTCTTTTGGACAGCACATGAATCAATTTTTCAAATGATATACATATTTGACGAAGGATAACTTTCGTAATCAATTTACGAGAGGAAAGGCAACTTTTTATTTAATCGTGTATATTACATATTTTTACGAAAACTACGTTACGCGATTAAAGTTAATTTCCATTGCATTTAAGAAAGAATTATTTCCGGTTTGAAATATCGCGCATGCAACCACGTTCTCAATGTTTTTCGCGCGCAATCTTCATTTCCCACATTACAGAGGCAACGACGAGGTGTTTACGGGAGGAAATTGAGTATCGCGAAATTTCCTGCCGTGTACATCCGCAATCTAGCTGCGATATTGGTATTCCAAAGCTCTAGAAATTAGCGAGGTCCGCGCGGGTTAACTCGTTATGGCTTAATAGCTCAACTCTTTCCGTTCGCGTTTTCTCTCTCGTTTTCTCACGTGCGTGCGCGCGGGTGCCGTTTAGCGAGTCGACTAAAACGACTTTGGCTCTTAAGAAGAGAACGGCTCGCTTGGAGCTGCTGGAAGGAAAGACAAAAGATAAAGAGAAAGATAGTTCAGCGATGGACAGCCTGCGGGTATATAGCGTCATCCTCGCTCAATGCGGTGCTATAATAGCCCTGGTTCGCTCCGCGAGGCCGCTCCGTGAACGGAATTAAACGCGACCAGGTTCAACGGCTGGACCCCGTAGCTTCCGGTCCCACCGTTCATCCTGTCCCCCGCCCACTTACTCGATCGCATATTATGAAAATTATGATTGTGCAAATTACGCGATTTCATCGATTCCCGTGGAAAGTGAACAGCTCCCGATAATGCAATCGGCGACAATCAAACGTTCGGTAAAGCCGATCGTTCGCAACGTAGTTGCACGTAGAAATTCACATTGCGAGTAGATCAGATATTAGCTTTTTTTAATACTCGCACGGAGTAAAATATTAAAATCCGGTTTTACCGCGGTTTGCGCTGAACGTAATTTAACCGATTCTCTGCGTCTTTCCATTCCGCAACCGTGACTATAACTTAGGCGAGGAAAGAAGATTTAGTTATTCATGATTAGCGTCAAAGCGAAAGCAGAACGAAACTGGCCGGCGAAACCGGAATGCGAACGAAAAGAAAGTCATACGTGAGAAATGCATGATAGTTCCGCAAGACGGGAGCGTTGGGGAATTCAGGCCGCTTAGCGAGCGCTCGCGTTCGCAAGTCCCTTACGGGAAAATTGAGGCGAGACTCAGATCTCGCCAATTTTGCGGTTTCCACAATAATATTACTTTCGGCTCTACTTTTCTTGGCGCAATGCGTCGGCTGTGTGACTCCAGCCGCTGTTGTATCCTAGCTGCGTTCGCTTGTCACTTGCGGCTACCCGCAACACCACGCCATTTTCACATACATTTTAATGCCTGACTGTACTAAACGCCGCCCTGCGAAATTACCGGGTGTCTCCTCGAGAAACAAGGATGCCCGTCGTAATCGTCGCTCGGCCACTAATTAATTAACGCGGATCGAAAACACGATATTCTCTTCCTTTTCTCCCTCTCTCTCTCTC